TAGGAACGAAATTGAAGAAACGAACAGTTAACCGATGTTGAATCAGATTATAAAGGGCCACTATACAAGGCTCGTATTTTTTTCTAAAACTGTTTGTCGCTTACCAACTAACTATTCTTTTACTGTACTTCCAAGCCAGTTCATTCGTCTGTCTGTATGATCGCCATAATCTCGAAAAGTATAAAAGCGCGACACTTTAAACTAAGTATGAACGTTGCTTTAAAGAGAATGCATATGATTTACTAACAACCTTCAGACTACATGTACAGCTTACCGCTATAGCCCAGATATATTTCTCGTAGCTCTATTTACTGGTATCCTAACTTTTGCTCTAATTTCTGTCACACTTTTCTTCTTATGTGAACTATTTGTTAAGTCGAGAACGCGTCACCTCTATATCATGTTCATTCAGTTCAGGGGACATTTTAGAATATCACGCTCTAATCTACACACACGCACACTCATCGAAATAACCATGCTGTCTACACTGTTCATATCAAACACTTCAAATAAATACTTTAAATGCGCAGACATTGAAAACAAAAAGTAGAAGTAAAGCAACGCACTTAGACATTTAACAAATTAGCAACTAAAAAAATGGCTTAAAATACAAGTATATGTATAATGCCGCAAGAATACAAGAAATTTGTAAAACAAATTTTCATAAATATCGCATGAGTTGGCACACGCACACACACACTCGCACACTCACACATCACATGTTTGCCATTTATTTTGCTGTCATTTTCTTTTCATACCCTTCACACAAAAGCCATGCGAAGGCGTCACCGATCCTATATATTAACAAGTATATTGATCAGCTATTGAGAGCACAGGCCTGTCTATTTGTTTGTCTGCTGTCTGTCTGTCTGTCTGACCCTTTGTCTTACTGTATGAACGCTTCGATCTGGTTGTCCGAAAGAGCTTTCGATACGAAACCCTGTAAGAGCATTTCTCAGATGTGCTTCGATGTTGTTTTAGATTTCTTGTAGTACCATTAGGGAAGTGGATATTTCAGTTGATTTATTGCGAGAATTGGAAAAATACTGTCCCCATAACGTTATCAGTAACTATCAGACTACTCGTATCATGGGAATTAAATGTTTACTAACAAAGTAAAAATATAAATACCCGTTAATTGAAAACGTTTATTTAGAGGCTTATTAGTATAATAGAGCATTCTGTGCCAAGGAGGTGACGCATGTCTTTATAATTCGAGCAACAGATCCGAAAAGAATCATGTTACGTGCTTTTTCTTTAAGCAACAGCTAAAGAGAATGGGTTTACAAGTGTGGGAATGTGGTATCAATACATCGATATAATCATTTTAATGGCGATATTTAGATATATTTCTATTTGGCGATATCGTTCTACCATAATACATAATTTTACATCTTTGGAAAACTTTGTTCAAAAGAAGTGAATTTAAGTGGAAAACACTTTTGGAGGTGTATAAAAATTTGAGAAGTCACTTCGAATGTAAGCAATAGGCTCTTCTCAGGCCACTTCTTCGATAAAGCCTCCCTGGCCAAAATAAACTCTATTAACAACTTATGTGGTGGTCGAAAATGCCTCACAAATAATTTTTGGCTGCTCAAAAATATCACTACTCGACAACATTTCCCAACACTGCTTCCATATGATAACATTTACAATTTTTCTGGAACGAAAACATCATCTCCTACAAACCAATTGCAGAATTTTCAACCAAAATCTAATCTGCTAATTTATTTAAGTAACCAGAAAACTCAAAAAAATAAACTAGAATGCTTTTAAACTTCGATAGTATCGATACCTTTATCACAAGGTATTGAAATACTGCTATTATCGAGCATTTGCCAACTCTGGTTTGCTTATAATTTTCCAGTTAATTTGTGAACAAAGGGAACAAGAAATTCCCGTGTATTTCAACTGCGATAGTATCGACGATCATTTGCTCTTGAAACTATCGACTACTGTACGATCGAGTACATTATCGGTATCTGAGCATAGAGTATTACTTAGTCGTGTGCTGCCTAACTTTTTATCTTGTTTTCTTTCTTTTTGCCGCCAACTAAACTCATTTCAATGCGCAGCGGCTTGCGCTTTAATTTAATTGAATAGAAGTGTAGATTATATTGAAATTAATTTATTAATATTTTGAGCAAAAACAACAAAATTTATACCCGTTCATAGTATATGTTTGCCACACATTCAGGTTGCCGACGTTGTTATTATTTTCATTTGCCGTCAATGAACTTGAAAAATAAAGCGCACCATGAGAAGAAATATGCCAAATTTAGCGTGTGGGAGGAGGCGTTGTGGTGGGTTGGGCAGAGCTTATAATTCGTTCAGATTATATATACGTCTTGTTTTTTGTACATTTGTTATATGCAATTAGCATTTAGATGTAAAATTTGCTGCCAATTGAGTGAACTTCTTAGTCAATATACGATATTCCCAGCGCTGCTAGCCTTGCGCAATGTTTTAAAAAAATGTTTAAATAGGTGCACAGAAATATTTTGGAACTGCCCGGCGATTCTAAATTAAGGCCAGGCAGTTGTTGTTGTTGTTGTAAGATTAAAGAGACGCAGCGTGTTGTATTTAAAATATTTGAAACATTTTCGCACTTAGTTGTGAGAAACAAACAAAGTATGCATAGTATTTTTATTTATCAGATCGCACATGTTTCTTATCAAGTCGAGAGGAATTGATATCTGGCTGTTCGCTTGCTTGTAAAAGCCTACATTATAGTCCAACGCTATCAGATTTTAGATATATGATGAAATGCCAATAAAGTGTTCCAAAGTTTTGAAAATAATTTGCAGCCAAAACCCAATAGCGATTATTTGCTAAGATATGAGTCTAAGACTTCCTCGATTTTGCTTATCAAAGCCTAATTGTTGGACAACTTACTAGAATTAATTCATAATTTAACAGACATCATAAAATATAACAGAATTAAACAAATATATTAATAATATAAAACTAATTATAAAAAATAAATTTATTTAGAAAAATAATAAATTTTTTTTAATAAACAGAAGTAATCCAAAAATTTTCTTTTCTCCAGCTCTCAAAACTTTAACTAAAATAATACTTTTTGTGCATAGAAGAGACACTTTTTGAACTTTAATCGGAAGAAATAAATCAAAGAACGCGCCAACAAACAGGCAACTAAATGTGCAAATTTTCAGAGAGACAAGTCTAGTAACTACGACTGTCTTTTTGTAGACGAGTCTAGTATCTATGAGTGTGTTCTTGTAGCCTCTACTAGTTGTAATAGAAGTGAAACAATTTCAAAAGGCCGCCCAAATATGTTTGGTGAGTATCCCGAGATATTTAAGTGTAAAGTTAATAATAATATTTATCCCGAAATATAAAACAATCACCAAAGTTTAAGTTATTCTAAGCCAGGGGCTTGATTATTGTGTTTAAAAAAAATTGTTGCCACTTTGGAATGCTATTTAATTTTTTTAAATTTGATTTCATTTTTTGTAACTGATTGCTTTACATGCTAATTATATATTATTTTAATTTAATTTAATTGGATTTGATTTTGTTGTTGTTTTTGGTGCACTTGATTTGATATTTCATTTAATTTTGGAGCTAATCAACTGCTTTTCATTTTAGGCTTGCACCACATTCGAAAACATTTTTATTTCGCGAACAGCTTCACATTAATTAGCTTAGTCGGACAACCAACCCACTAATAAATTCATTGCTTCATTTCATAATTTTATTTATCGACGTACGCACGAAGGCACAAAAAATACCAATTAAAAATATTTAGGCAGCTGAGCAGCGCGCGTATTTTTTCTGAATTTGTTGCGCGTTGTTTTTGCTAAGAACAAGTGTTTAAATTTAAACAGCCGAACAATTTTTTGTTGCTTATGCTTTGTTTTTATCAAATTGGACAACGCAGAGTCGCGCGCGTCGTTCGTTCAGCATACGGCGTTGTCCAATTGGAAATGCAATTGAAAATAAAAACACGGGCCGAACGTGCGAAAGAAGAAAGAAAACGGTAATAGCGTCATGTGGCGTATACTTAATGCTTGCTTTTCGCTCACTATCTCTCGCTTACTCTCTCTGTTTCTTGTTATTGTGAGACTTTTCCGCAAAGTCCAAAAATTGTAAGACCAGTGTGCAAGTGAGTGTGAGAGCGGGAGAACGCAACAGTTTGATGGAGAGCGATAGAGAGAGTGCCAAAGAAAGTATAAGCTTTCGAGTGCACAGCTGTTGATCACCTGTTGTCGTTGTTGTTATTATTGCTGCTGCTGCCGCTGTTATCTAAAGAGTCTGAATTGCCGTTTCTTTTTTTCTACCATTTATAAGGACGCGATATGACGTCAAGAAAACGTGGAAATATTTTTGTATTCAGTGGTAATTGATTCATAAGAAATTCCATGCAGCACACGACTCATGTTCATTGTTATTGTTAACATCGTCGTTGTACTTGCAGGTGTGATTATCGCCGCTCGCTATTATTAGCCAAATTATTATTGCGCAAAACATGTCTGATACTGTTATTACAAATAAGTCCGCTTATCAATCAGTGCATGTTAGGCCTATCGCATTCAAAAATCACAATTCGCTCATACCTAATTATAGATGGCTGGCAAAAGAACGAAAGAACAAACACTTGCTGGCAGACTATCTGACTATAGTGGGCGGGATAAGTCAAATTGAATTGGATTGTTTATATCACATGCAGCATTTAAATGTTTAGTTTAATGTTTTATTTGATGGGCAATTTTCTTATTTCGAAAATTTAATATTAAAAATTTATAAATGCTATAATAGTAAGACACTAGATATCGACAAACTTTTAATATCAATATATATTTTTCTACCACCTTTAAACACAACGTTTAGTCAACTCTGTTAGATAACAGAGCGCTGTTAACAATGACCCACTGCTGTGTTGAATATCCCTATATGGTGTGTGCACGTACTAAGTACACTTAGCACATTCAAGCACCAGCACTTTCCCCACACGTATATTTAGTCTAGACACTCACCGCTTTGCGTTTGTCCGCTTCGCTGACCGCCGAATTTGAACGATGTCGGAACAGATCCATTACTTTGGTCATAGGCGAACGCTGATTTGCATGCGGACGCACAGCCGTCACCGTGTGGTAATACTGTAGAGGAGGAAAATAAGAAGCAGAAGTTAGCAAAAGCTGGTAATGGCAACCAATTTTTTGTCACATTCCACATTCACGTAAATTTTTTCAAAAGTTTCCAATTTTATATTCATTTTCTTGCTGTAGTTGAATACTAAAAATGTTTGTTATGTTCATAAATTAAATAGCATTTGTAGGAGTTTCAAAGAGTCTAATTTTGAATGTGCAGACAAAATTAAGTTATTTAATAATGTATGAATCGGGGATTTTGTATGCCTTCACCATTTGTCAAATATTTTCAATCAACATTTCACGGATAGTAATATTTTCGACACTGTTTTCGATCGCGATTGAAAAGATAAACTTCAAACATGCACAAAAGTATGCTCAGAAATATTACGTATATTCACAAATGTTATAGTATAACTAAACGATTTAAAATCTGCAAATTATCTCTACTATTGAAATATGAAAGGTTTCTTGAAAAGTAGTTTTTAAAAACTTTTCACATTGTGGATGAATTCACACATAACTCCAAGTTGAAGTGATTTGAGCTTCTATTTTCAATAGCTTGAGAATATAGCGAATTACTTTTGGCAAAACATTTAAAAAGGAATAATTTTCTACGCAGACAGCTAACAATTTCGATTCCGCATCATTTCATCAAAATCGCTAATGGAAAAAGGCCTGAATGGTGTGTCGCGGATGGTGTGTGATGATTTCAATTTCAAGGAAAGGATTGCAGAATCCTGCACATTGTGGATGAGTTCACACCCAACTCCACTTCAATTGTAAGTGATTTGAGCTCTCTATTTTGACCTTAATAAAAATATAGCGAATTACTTTTGGCAAAACTTTTGAAAAGGAATAATTCGATACGCAGACAGCTAATACTTTCCATTTGACGTCATTTAATTAAAATCGGAAATCGAAACAGGCCTGATTTTGAAGGCGATGCAATTTATTTCGACTTTGTGAATTTGTCTGATTTTGTAACATCGCGGATGGTGTGTGATGATTCTTCACGAAGTTCAGAGATACAATGTAGATTTTTCAGAATCTTTCACACATCTCCACTTCAAGTGGAAGTGATTTGAGTTTTCTATTTGGTCGACTTACCTGCGCATCACTGCCCTGATGGGGATGTGCACTGCCATCTTTGTACTTGCTCTTGGCGGAGACTGTGCCATCGGCATTGGTTATCGTCACAGCGGGATGTTGTCGATGTCCGAAGTTTTGCATTGCCACTTTCATGGAATTCATAAGGCCTACGGCGGCATTTGCGTTCGCATTTGCGGTTGCCGTTGTTGTGGTTGCTGCCCCTGGCGCTGGTCCGCTGCCGGATACGGAATATGTGCTGCTGGTGGCGCTGCTGTCCGCCGACGAGGGATCCAGCAGATGCTTCTCCTTCTGTCGCTTCGCGTCCGATTTGGCGCGCGGTCGGAACACATCGAATATTGTGGGCCGACGATTTGGCGACGCAATGCCATGCACGGTAGACTGATTGAGCACAGGTGAGTCTTCGCCACTGCGTCGACGCTCTAGCGAACCGGAACGGGAACTGGCGCCCGCCACACGCTCCGTGCTGCGTGAGATCTTCTCGCTGTGCCGATTGAGTTTCTCCAGCTTCGCCGCCTCCCGTTCGATGCGTCGCGCCGTTTCGCGCTCCAATTTGCGTGCCTCCTTCTCCCGACGTGATTGCTCCTTCTCCTGACGCCTGTTGGTAAAAATTTAGAGAGGAATTATAATTAAGTATTTCTAGAGAAATTAGGAATTATTGGGAGTTTCTCTTGGGTTCTTCTTAATGTGGAATTGGTTTATAGATTTCGTTTAAGTAGAGCTTGGTTTTACTCTATTCTATTTCTATTTCTTAATTCTAACAATTTAAGTTTAAACTTATCTTCTTATCTTCTATATTCTCTTCGATTACGCTTCAGAACTTATAAAGATTTTGTTCCTCTTTCCGCAAGAATATTGCAATCGTTTTCGCTTCCGAAGTTAATTTCAAATCGTTTTTCAAATTTGGATTTAAAATCGAATTACGATTCACATTTAAAAAGTTCCCGCAACAAAGCAGATGTTAATTTGTTAAATTTCAGTTGCGGATTTCGAAATCCAATGCTAATAGAACAAATAAAATCAATTAGTCGTGAACTAAACAAAGATCTGAATCGAAGCGGATAGAAATATTAACTTTTTAACTGGGCGTGAAACTCTTTCTTCGGAGAATGTGAATAATAACCGTCTATTTAATAACTAGAAATATGTAACAAATGCATGAAGTGAGCTTAAGCTTCTCCTATATATACTTTTTATTCAAGATGATCAGTTTTTAAGCTTATTAAGCAGTTAACCAATGGGCGGGCAAATCTTTTCTTCCAAGAACTGGATATTTAATGTCTAGAAATAATTGATAGAACTGCTTAAGCTTTGTTCATATTTCATTTAAATTTTGAAATTGAATGATGTTGCACAGTATTTAGAGGAAAAGCTCAATTATATTTACTATTGATATAAATGTACTATACAGATATTAATATCTGAACATAGGTGGTAGTATGGATATATTTCTAGTTATTAAAACCTGTTATTTCTATATTTTTGAAATTGCTTTATAGCTTCTTTAAATAGGATTGAGGAATCCGATTTTTGATAAAAACTGCTTTAAAATTCTGTAATTCTGTCACTCTATTATTTGTTTTCTCTCCACTGATTTGACACTCAAGATAATTTAGCTGCTTGTGCTACTCACCGCTGTTCCTTCTCCATCTTCTTGTAGGCCTTCTTTGCTGCTTTGGCATTGGGTTCTGCGGGCGCACTGGAGGGTCTTGAGCCGGGCACTCGCACGCCATCCTGTTCCTGAAAGCGTACATGACGTTTTTGAATTTGTTGTTGCTTTGGACTGGGGGTTTTGATTTCTATAGATATTGCAATTGGGCTGCTCAGCTCTTGCATATTAGTTGGCCGTATTCGTGTCTCCTCTTCTTAGTGGAATTTCACTTAAATATATTATTTGGGTCAATGCTGGCGCAACGTCTAGCAGCGCTTGCCAAGGCGCACTAAAAGAAAGCCCCACAAGTTGGCCAGGCCAGGGCGTCCAACAAGTGCTACTCAATACGTTGGTTAGTTTGTGCGAGGAGTATGTGTGGGTGTGTGGCCCAAACAATTATCCTGTTGGTTGCCACCGCCCTGCTTGCAATTATGCCGAATTGTCTACAAATACAATTTGTGCCCCGCGCCATTCAGGACGAGAAAAAAGGAGAGAAGAACGAATGCTACAATGCCACAACTACAGCCACAACTACAACAAAGCCATTTGCAATGCCGTAACAAACAATACACAAGGCGAACGTTGTCGTCGTCTCCTCAATTAATTGACCCACTTGGCATTATCCTGCGGCGACATCTTTAATCGAATTTAATCAATTAACTTATGATTACGCAAAATTTCAAGAAGCGGTTCTTTTTTGCCAAAGCAACAGGTTCTCTGCCTTTCGGGTTTGTGCACGCGCTGCGCTGGGGTGAGTGTATTCGCTTACAAATAAAACGCATGTGGGAAATTCTATCTGAACACCAAATTTTACGGTACAGTGGAAACTGTCGACATTTAACAGCGAACTAGAAAATCCACTAAAAGTGTGTAGAAAGCTGCTTAAAAAATGGATATAAGAAGTTATAAAACCCGCTAAAAAAAAAAAAATAGAAAACCCGCCGTCACCGATAGCTTTTAAGAGCCGAAACGAAGTTTGTATTTTCATTAAAAATAATCCTGGAAGAAGCCTGATTTCCGGTATTATTAAAAATAGTATTACTTTTGAGTGAGGTAAGCAATTTTCATGCGACTAGAATGATTTCTAAAATTCGTTTTTATACCAAATACCAACACTTTCAAGTTCGGGAAATGTCCACAAAATTTCCTTCAAAAAGTATGTGGCCAATCGAATTTTGAATGCTGAATAATTTGACTGCTGAGCCAACATCAGCGTTTGTTCAAAATAAAACCCAATATTATTCGAAACTGACGAAAGATTTTTTGGGCAAAAAAGCAAATATCGCTCAGATTGTTGGCATTATTATAAAGCGGCAATGAATTGGAAGAACAATGGCATGGCAGGTCATAAAAAATAAAGTCAAGTAAGTCTTAAAATAATTAAAGTCTTAAATTAATTAAATAATTAAAATAGAGAAGACCTTTAAAAAGTTCAGTTGTGCTCGATTAAATGAAGATGTTGAGGCTAAAATATTTTTTTACAGTGCTGTGGAATCTCGACAAATTGTTTCAAAAAGTAGGTTCTAAAGGGGAATGTCTAAAGAAACAAAATATTAATATGTATATTGTATAATTCTGTGCACATTATTTTCTACATAATAATATTTCTGGTTTTATCTTATAATTTGTTTCAAAATAGATTTGTAGTTTTAAGCATATTTGTTTAAATCAATATAAGGCTTTCAAAAATCTATCGATGGTACCGACTTTATAGAACTGTAGCTCGCAAGCCGATTTTTAAACGAAACTTTGACTTTTGTTACTAAAGAACATTTTAGAAAGAAGATGTTTGTGTTAATTTAAAGTTTTATCCCACTATTCGGCTTATCGGGCTTGTACTCTATGTGCTTAAATACTTGTATCTAATCTTTAGAGAACCAATAAAGAATTTTCATTCATGTATCGCGTTGTTCGTGATTAGTTTTTTGGACCTATTAAGTTCTCATTAAGATAATTGTTGATAAAATTTGAAAGTGCCCTTTTCTGGCGCTTGCAATAGTAGGCCTGAAAACTTTCACAAGTGCTCGGCAGAAATAAACCAAAATCTGTGCACAGGCAAATAAAACGTGTGTATTTGCGTGAATTTTTAGCAACCACATCAGCCAGCAACAACAAATGGTGTGTAGAGTGGTTGTGTGGTTGATGGTGTCGATGGTTTTTTTTTATTTTCGCCAAGTCACGTGCTCGCGGCTATGGCGGCCGCCGGTCGGATGAGCTAACAACTCTCAGACATACTCACAAATACACAGACATACATACATGTGTGTGTGTGTGTGTGTGTGGAATACAACAAAAGCGAATTAATGGACGCGTTAAAAGCAATTTGGCCAAATGTGCAAAGTGGGTTAAATATGCGAGTTGTAGACGACGAGCGACTGATTTAACTGCCAATTTTTTATTTCACCTTTTATTTTAATTTTAATTTTTTTTTTTTATTTTTTGCTCCGCGATACAACGTCGTCGTCGTTGTGGGGAGTGTTTGCTATCAGCTGTTGGACGCCGCCTATTTCAATATTTACAATGTATTTCAAAAGTTGTTTGTATATTTATGGCGCGTAACACGCCGCGCTTCATTTGTTTTGCATTTCTGTTTAGTTTCGGGTGGGGTGGTGTCGAAGGCGAAGGCGACCACGCACAGTGGGCAGAATGGATAACCAAAGTGAACACATTTTTGCACCAGATATAATATAATGATTAACTGATCGTATCTTTAATGCAATGGTATTTCAAACAGATTTTAATTTTTATTGTTTTTTATTTTTATTATAATATAATATTATTATTATGTTTTTTTATTATTATTATTTTTTATTTATTATTTTCAATGTTGCGAATCGGCCTGCAGCTTTAGCTCTAACTCTTATAGAATATAAAGGCTGCAAGTTATTTTTTTTTTAATTTCTGCTAGCTCGTTGAGCTCTGTCAGGCCTCGAATACTCGTAGTGGTTTCTAATTCATAACTGCACGAGAATTGTCAGATACTCGTGATTTCTCATTTATAATTATCAGATAAAAGTGGCTTCCAATTCATAATTCTAAGTTAATAATGGTTTCACTTCATAATTGTTGCTTAAAACGTGTTAAATTCTACCCAAATACTAGTGAAAAGTAACTAAAGAGGCCTTGCTGAGAATTATTTATATGCCACTTCATATTTTCAAAAGATTATACGACTACTAAGTAAACCCCAGTTGACGGTAAAAAAAACACGTAAGAAAAGATCGCTACAAAGAAATCTCAAAGGGAGTCCAGGGAGTTCATTGTAAGGCTAGAGCTTTGAGCATTAAAGTCAGTTCAACGCTAGAAAGAATTTCAATTTTAAATCACCTTCAATTGTAAAAAAAAATTTGGTTTTAGGGATAAACACAGCTTAAGCAATCATGCTTAATAATAAAATATATTCGCACACTTTTTCAATTTCTTAAAGACTCGTCTATTAAAATACTCAAATGATAGTTGGTAAGACATCTGGTGTTAAGTGGCATTTCTGTTTTTAAATAAAATATGATAACTATGATGATTCTAAATTATTATTAGTTTAGTTTATTTCCGGATCCAATTTTAAGTTACAAAACCAAGTTAAAAACCTTGGCCGTGAATATCCTACAGCACCTACCCTATTCCAATGCTTATTTCTTATTTGATAAATGAGATATTATTGGCGAGATCGTTTTCGAAAAAGAGGAGCTTACGAATAATGCTTTCTCTATAGATGATCAATTACATTTCAACTGAAACAAGAATTATCACAAAGAAGAGTGCAATTTTCGAGCCCTCTACTAAATCACGACCAGTTCGAATTCTCCCACTGTGCGCTGATTAAATTGACGTCATTGTTTGCCATCGAACAAGGGAGAGCGACGCAGAGCGAGAAGAAAAAACGCAAATATGGAAATTTTTTCTCTAGTGGTGTGTTCGTACATATTCGTATTCGAAAACGAGTGTCTGGGCATAGTCGTGCGCAAGAATTTTTGCCGAAGCTCTTATTGTTCTGTTTTTATTCTGCTCTGGGTCTGGACTGAAGTGGAGTGGAGAGCAGAACATGTTGACAAATTGTGTCATTTGTCAGTTTAGTGATAAGAGTCAAATGGCAACGATAAAACGCGCGACCAGGTGTCGTAAAACCGGACGAAAATGTGCGTCGCAGGCCCCATTTCTGGGCCCAGAGAAGAAAGAGCCCGAGTCCACAAGACAAATGTTTATGTTTCAAATTTGCAGACAGTCCAAACAAACAAAGTCGCAATGAAAGGAAGTGAGCGAGCGATCGAGCAAACAGAAGAAACCCATAATACTCGAACATTTCAATAGAAAAGAGAAAGAGAAGAGGTAGCAGAAGAAAAAAAACTCAAAACAGCCAATTTTCGGGGTATGTGGTCCCACGAGTGTAGCTATAAATACATTATTTGGAAGTCTCTAAAAACAAAACAAAACAAAACGCCAAACTCCGAAAGAAATGCCAGACGAAGCTAATGAGAGACGGCGTTACGTTCGCCTCAAGCACTCGCAGCTAGAGATATGGGCAATTGCCTGAAGCGGTGGACAAATAGAGCTTTCGAGTAGGGAACTGACATCGTTTTGTAAATAAAAAGCGACTCTTGTTTAGCGGAGTGAGTCATTGATGCTATTTAGTATTTTGTTGGACCTTGAATCTTTCAATCCTGAACATTTGTTAAATCTATTAAGTGATGAGGTTTAAAATTTGTTCCGATAAATACTAGATTTATGACGAGTATTTGAAGTGTCTTAGAACTGATAATATGATTTCTTCACCAATTAATAAGAATTACAACATTGGAACAGATAAGTTACTTTGCTTGCTAATTAATTAAGCCCAATGCTGTTTTAAATAAATGGGATTGATCTTTATAAATGGTGTAAGATTTAAATAAAGAATTCACGGAAATAGAGATAACTCAACGTTTGGGGACCACCTTTGTTGTAATATATAGTGAATAAAATATCAAAGAGTCACATGAAAAAAGAGTGGTGCTTAAACATCTGGTGACCCATTTCTTCAAAATAAACTTACATTTTCAAAGACAGAGACAGATGACAAAGAGACTTTAATTTGGATATTGTGATACGTGCGCTAAACATATCTGTTAAAGAACTTCTTTTAATATAATAATTTCCTTCACTTCTAACTAAATTTGAAGAAAATGTTGATGTCTCAACATATGGTGACCCCTTTCTTCTAAATAAACTTACTTACGATTTTAAGTTTTGATATTCTGATACGCAAACTAAACATATCTATAAAAAGCAGTGCATAATATTTTCCTTCACCTCTAAGTAATAATTTTTTTGAAAATTTGAAGAAGAGGTTGATGCCGAAACATCTGCTGACTCATTTCTTCTAAATAAACTTACATCTTCGGAGACAGAGACGGACACCGATGCCGAAGCGGTCAGTGGAAGCGATGGACTCGCTGCTGACGAGGCGCTCTCATTGCGCAGCAGACGTGGCATGGTCGACGAGCTGGCCAAGGACACTGAACGCACTGGCGTTTGTGGATCGGTAGAAGCTGAAGCACTGGCCTCAAACGCTGTGGTTCGCTTTATCCAGATCTCGTCCAGCTCTCGTTCGCTGGGCGTCTTCGGCTTGCTGGCCAAGCTGTTAGTATCACAATTGATTGGGCTTTGGTTGTTGTTGTTCAGCGATTGATTGCTCTCCGTGGGTCCGCGAATCTTCACCAGCGATGTGTCGAAGAATTGCTTGGCGAAGTGCGGCGCAGCGGTGGGAAAACGATTGCTGCCATAGCGCTGCGAGAAGAGGCCCTGCACCGAAGAGTAGCCACCAAAGCTGGAGGGGAAACTGATGGTTTGCGAATTCGAGCTGGGCTGCATGTGGCTCAGTTGCTTCGCTTCCGGCCGAAGCTCGGGCACTTCTTGGGCGCGCGTCACCTTGAACTTTCCCCGTATGATGAGCGGTTCTGTGTGCGATGTGGGCGAGAGCGGTGGCAGCTGCGCCAGCGGTGGCGTGGTGGGCGTAGCGGGCGTGGTTACAGGCGACAAGGTGGCGCGGCTAACAGTGGCTGGAGCAGTCATTAGCGTTAGAGGCGGTGGGGATGTGACCACAATAGCGGGTGGTTTCTCTGCGGGTGGTGCAGCTGCCGCTGCTGGTGGTGCTGCAATGGCTGGTGGTGGGGTGGCAGCAGCTGTGCTGGACTGCAGGAGATCCTTCAGGGCTTGCGGCAATATTGTGGCCGGTATGGGTGGCGGTGGTGGTGGCGGCGGTGGTGTCGCCTTGCACTCCTCAATGTTGCGCGTATTGATAAGATCGATTTTATGCATAAACTGCTGACGCAGACGTTCCAGATCTTTGAACTTCTCCTTGGAGGCCTCGTCCTGTGGCGTGGGTGGCCGCGGCGGTGGTGCTTTGGAGTTTCGCTCGAAGTTGGGCGCCCCGGCGGCGGCACCACCCAACTGGGGCTGCGGCGACTTGTCGCCCTCGTCCTCATCGTCCTCCTCCTTGCATTGCGAGAGCCGGCGACGCTCCACGAATGGGGCCAACATATAGGCGGGTCTCTGATGATAGATATCGTAGCGTCCATCGCTCGATTTGGCAAACTTGCTCGGAAAATTCAAGCTGCCCATCATGCCGAAGTTCTCGTCATCGTCTTCATCCTCTTCCTCGTCGTCGCTGCTGCTGCCGCTGCTGCTTTGAAAATCAAAGGAGTTGCGGTGCGGATGAAAGGCTTGCAGCAAGATTTCGTCCAAATTCTGCCCATATTTCGACTCCGCATTATTGTGATTATTATTGTGGTTGCCATTGCCAATGGCATTGGTGGTATTGTTGTTGCTGTTGGTGTTGGCACTGCGATCCTGCAAACACAAACTCAAGCTGGAGGCTGAAGAGTCCGTGGCCTGATCATTGGCACTAGCCTCCGAGTCCGACTCATAGCCATCGAGCACCGCCTGCTCCAAATCGTCCATGGTGGACTCAAAGACGCACTCGAAGCTATCGTCCGCACCTTGATAGAGGCTGGGCCGCAGACACGCAGGCGCGGCACGGGTGAGGGAATTGCTGCTACTACTGGCGGGCTGTTCCGTCACCTCCTTACCCGGATCCTTCTCCCTGCCAGCGTCCTGCTTCTCCGCCGCGTGCGTTGGCATCGCTGACGTCGTTGTGCTGTTCTTTGTACTCTTGATCTTTTGATTACTTCTGCTCACATTCTCATCGATATACTCGCAATTTGTGGCCATTGAGACACAGCTTTCTCTACTTCTCCTTCCGCTTTTTTTTTTTTTTTTTTTTTGGTTATCTTTGGATTGTTTGCTACACCCCTCGCCCAGGCAGCCGACTGCTGTTGCTTATCCGCTTATCCTCCTCACTCGGAATGGAAGTGCTATATAGATGTTGCAGCAAAATATTTTCTTTTGTACGACATTGATATGCCTGTGCCGAATGCTGGCTGGCTAGGATGGCTTCCTATTCGTAGTATCTGTAAGAGAAGGTTTTTCGTGTGTTTGTTCATATCAATGAGCTAGACGGCAAGTTTTGTGGCCATCACCTTTTTGTCTGTCTGTTGTTGATATGAGCGTCTTTGCATATTGAATGGAAGAACAAGATCACAAATCAAAGCCTATACTTTTGTGGAAATCACCAAAAACATTCTTGGCAACCAATTTATATGGACAGAAAACATTTATCTTATTTTTTTAACTTCGAAATATAGGATTATTGAACAGGAAAACTGAGATGCTCATATGGTTAAGAGAAAACTCTAGAAAGTGATGTTTACTAGTTTACAGATTGGAAAATAATTACATTCCCCCGAACCATTAAACATTTTACATTTATATATTTGTTAAATTCTAAATATAGGATTATCAGAAAAACTGGGATTTTCAAATGCTTAAGAGAAAACACTATAAATATTATCAGTTTTCCCTTTCATTAACCCATTATGAAGAAATATCCACCTACTTATATACGAGTATTTACATAAATATCCATAAGTTCTATTGTTGTCAGGCAATTTTTATCAATATTTCAATCTTCATTCCTCTTAGCTTTAATAACCAATACCAACCGTTTTCTTGATTAAAATTTCACTCCCAACATAAGGTATTTTTTATTCTGCTACACAGCAGTCTTCCAACATCTTATTGCCTTTCGAATAGTGCTCCTTAACTAAATCTCCAAAATTGGCGTTTGACTTCATTGACTTTATTTAATCCAAATTCCTGGTATCCATCTCATCAGCATTTCTAAATCTAAACTGGTCGGTATATTTCCTAATAAACGCATCATCCGAATAAACATTCATTTTGTTGAAAATATAAGCCTATCCATACATCTCCAAATAAACAATAGCATTTTTTGATGACTAAGAAAGCCAACTGAATATACTAAAGTAATGAGAAATAAATCATATAAAATAAGTTTGTCCACATTATTTTCTGAATATTCTTTATTCATTATGCCCCTGTCAAGTCCCAACCGCACAACAAGCACAAACATCTCAAGATGTTCCCATAAACCCCATTAACTGTAGCATGAGGTGAAGGTCAACAAACAGCAGCCTCCCATATGCTCAGTATTATTATATATTTGACGCCTGCGGGTTGTGCAGTCGAAATCGTTCACGATAAATAATCGTATACAAATACAAAAGACAATCGCAATCAAAATAGAGAGAGCATATATAGACAGCTCCTACACTATATGTGTGTACAGATGTCCGCATACATACATATAGAGTATGCTGAAAAGGCAAAAACAAAGCGTTAACAAAGCTAATTCAATTATTTACGCCCCGCCGTGTCGTCAAAACACAAAACGCAAAACACAAAACAAATGCCCAAGAAAGCAAAACAAAGAGAAGAAAAGAAACTTGGTACCACTCGCCATATGGTAGGAACACATTAAAATACACACATCCATACCTAATTTTATATGTATATACAACTACATATATGTATACATATGTATTTATGCGACTGAACACGTTGTTCAGCCAACAATGTGCGCCAACTTATGGCACATACTATATATAGTGTACAGTAGAAGAAGAATCAGAAAAAAGAAAGACATTCCATATCTGATATGCTGGCTATTGTTATCGTTGGAGCTTCGGAACAGGCTGTCTCTTAGGTTTGTAAAGCAAATTGTTTCAGGACGGAGCGAAAAAATACAGTTTAGAGTAGAAGAATCGGAAAAAAGAAAGACAATCCATATCTGAAATGCCGACGATTGTTATCGTTGGAGCTTCGGAACAGGCTGTATTTTATGTTTGCATGGAACTCGAAACATTAAGAGAATTGTTTCAGAACTGATGTCAGGACGGAGCGATTTCAACACGAAATTGTAGTTTAGTGTAGAAGAATTATAGAAAAGAAAGACATTCCCTATCTTAAATGCTGTTTTCGTTGAAGCTTCGGAAGAGACTGTTGTTTCAGGACTGAAGTCAGGACGAAGTGAATTGAACAGAAAATATAGTTGAGTGTAGAAGAATCAGAAAAAAGAAAGTTATTCCATATCTGATATGCTAGCTATTGTTATCATTGGAGCTTCGGCACAGGCTGTACTTATGTTTGTAAAGGAAATTGTTTCAGGATGGAGCGAAAAGAACATAGTTTAGTGTAGAAGAATCAGAAAAAAGAAAGATATTCCATATCTGATATGATGGCTATTGTTATCATTGGAGCTTCGGCACAGGCTGTACTTATGTTTGTAAAAGAAATTGTTTCAGCATGGAGCGAAAAGAACATAGTTTAGTGTAGAAGAATCAGAAAAATGAAAAGGCATTCAAAAAGCTTAAAAAATAAACAGCCGCGAAACAGAGCAGAAAGAATGCGAAATATGCATATGGGTTGGGCTTACAATAATTTGCAAGTTCAGTCCAATGAGTGTCACTACAACGAAGGTCTACGTTGGACGGGCTTTGTATCAGTTGATGGCTATAGAATCCCTGCCTAGGAATATATACATATCGACTTGCACACACGTGCTCGTAAATTTTCGTTTATTTACATAAAATCTATTGGTTCGCTGATCCAAATAAACACTGCATATTGATGAATGGCGAATCGACAAATCGAGCAGAAACCGCAAATTGTGTAATTGAGAAAACCAAATGCACGATAAACAATAGGACGCACATGCAGAAGCATACATACATATATATATTTATATATATATATAGATATAATAGACGTCAATTAATAACAATTATATATCCACATAGTACAAACATACAGCCACACATTGTTTATAAATGCATTTTGCGGTCTTCCTAAGATGTTCGGAAAACTAAGCGCATGATAAAGTATGTGAGTCATAAAAGACATGAGTTAACCCATTAATATCAACTCATTTGAAATGCTTATTATACATATATACATATTTCATTGTCAGCACTTTACTTAACAATTGTTGTGAGCTGTTTTGCTTTCCTCACTACTTATGTCATCAGCCAATTTTTTTATTAATACTAGTATTTAATTAACGAGCTATTTCAAAAATTGTTTTAAAGGGATAGGCAGAAAAAGTAATGAAATCATAGCTAATCGAACTGCCTCATTTTTTTCAGTTTTCAGTTAGCAACAATGGGTGTCAGTGGAAGACGCTTGAATCATAGTTACAACAATAATAACAACAACAATAATAGCAAAGCAAACACCACGGCCTGCCAAACGACACGAAAAACAAGGCATTTTATTTAATTGCTCGTACACGAACTACCGCCTAACGCATGTGAGTCATGTATCTAACAGTTTTTAACTATCGGCATGACTTGAAGTGCATTGTGTCTTACAGATACTTTGATGTAATTACATGTTAATGCTTTAAATGCCTTTTGTAGCTTTGGTTTTTCCTGCCGCACTTGCAACGCTCCGCAAACTGCATTTAATTATATAATATTATGTGTTGCATAACCAAAATCAATCGCCGCAATTTGTTAAGTTGCTCGTATTAACTTATGGCTAACTCAGTAGACTCGTCGGCGTCGCTTTGCCGACATAGTCGTTGTCATCGTCGTTATTGTTGCTGCTGTTGTTGTTGTTGTTGTTGTCGTCAGTGTCTGTGATTGTTCCAATGCCTGACCGAGTTGGTGGCATTGTTGTTATTGCAGCTGTTTTTCGCATTTTCTTTTCTCCTCATTATTATTATCACCAAAGAGGTGCTTGAACTTTTGCAGTGGCATCGTATGACAAAATCAACAGCAATTCGAGTCTATATATTTTCTTTGCAAACACGAGCACATACTGCTCGTACTGTACAGCTAAATGCTCCACCCATTATAATTATTATAATCCAAAAAAGTGCGCTTGCATGCGCAGCGAAATAAAAATCATTTAAACATTTAAACAGAACTGTTTAACAGCCTCGCTGTTAAAATTCCGCTGCTTAACATAACAGCGCTTTTCATTAACATTACAAAGAAATGTTTGCAAACTTGCACTTTTACAACAAAAATAATTATGCGAGTCACGCAATTCAAAATAAATGAAAACGAAAAAACAACTGCACAATGCCTTTTGTGACACAATCAAACAAAATACATATATACGAAGCATAGTATGTGGAAAATTGAGCTGAAATGGCGACAATAATTAAAAATGACATTCAAACAATTTCAATTTCATTTAAAAAATAAAAAAGCTTGTCTGTACACTTGGAAAAAAAAGTGTTGCCAAATCAGCGTGAAAAATTTTAGCCTGGAATACGTTTGTTTTTGCGGTACTTTTTGATAGCATATCTTTTGTAGACTTTTTAGGGCCAAACAATTTAACAAAAATAAATTTTTTTGTTTTTCTTAATGAATTATTTTCTAGTAAGTAGAAATGCAGAGAAAATTGTTATCAGAATATGAGTATACTTTAAAAAAGAAGTCGATTATATAAACCTGATTGATATTATTTGTTTCTCTTAATGAATGATTTTCTAGTAAGTATAAATAAAGAAAATATTTATCAAATGATGATAAAAATAGGTCGATTACATTTTCGCCAAGTGTATTGCTTTCGAGCATTGGGCGTGTGCCCAAGTGCAAGTACTATATAGTATGGCATGTAATTGAATTGTGTCTTACGTATTATTCTTTATAATATTGCATACATACGAGTACATAAATAAAAACAAATTGCAATTGAGGTTGACTTTGGCACTTGTTGATATTTATTTGTATATAAGTATTGTGTGGGTTGCAATTGCTGGCTAGTGATATTAGATAACCAACTATTGCACAGCTGCTTCACTCTTTTTTTTTCAGCTGTTTTGTGTGGTGTTTTCAGAAACTTGTTTTCATACGACGCACGTGACTTTTGTTGGTGCCTATTATTGATGATATGGTTGTTATTTTGCTTAATTCATTATGCACACTCGAGTTGACCCCAAATGTCAGTAGATTTTCATTGACTTGAACAGAGGGCGCAGCAACAACAACAGACACGACAATTAATTATTCCTTGTCATACGATATAGTCGAATAGAGTC